TTTTTTACTTAAGTAATCTCCATATCCAACATAGAGCTTGAACTCTCCAGGACCCCCAGATAAAGAGTTGCATGCTCTTCTGACTGAACCACCCACGCACCTCTATGTATCTTTTACCTGCTTATGGCAGTGTATTTTTAAACAATGAAAAAAAATTAACCTACTTTCTCCCTTTAATAAGTTCTATGCCAAAAGATGTCTCCTTTCACCTGTAGAAGAAACTGCCAAATAGATACACACCATAAAATATTTCTCCCAGGGGTGCCTGGGTGGCCCAGTTGGTTAAGCAATCAATTTGATTCTGGCTCAGGTCACAATCTCAGGGTTGTGAAATCAAGCCCTGCATTCGGCTCCATGTTCAGCATGGGGCCTGCTTAAGATTCTCTCTCTCTTTCTCCCTCTGCCTCTTCCTACTCATGCTCTGTTCTCTCTTGAAAAGCAAAAACAAACAAAATCCCCCCAAAACCTCTTTAAATTACTATCACTTCTGGTTCTATTCTGTTTCTTCTCTTTGCCTAGTTAGGCACTAATACCATACGGCTTTAATTATTGTGCTGTAGTTTTAAAAAAAATTTTAAATAAACACTACACCAATGTGGGGCTCAAATTCACAACCCTGAGATCAAGAGTTGCATGCTCCACTGACTGAACCAACTGGGTGCCTCTACTGTGTCACAGTTTTTTAATAATTGATAATCCAAGGCTCCCTTCAATAGTCTCCTATTAAATATTCTTCATTATTTTCTAGCCTACTCACATTACTTTATTCTCCTTTTCTTTTTTTTCCCTCCAAACTAGCAAACATATCTATTTAGAAGAAATATAATGATGTTCAATTATAGTATTATTTCAGAAAAAGGGGGGGCAGGGTTGGAAAAACCTAACTATCTAATCATGTGGAATGAAAAGCAAATTATGATATATTGAATGGATATATAAAATCTGATACAATAATTGTTATACATGTATACTTATTAATATGAAAAATAAGGACTATAAAATTTTAAAAAACAAATGATACCATTTTCATTTTAAAACCTAAATGGCAAGTGAACAGTATATAAACAGTACATATTTCAAATATATGTTGGATAAATAATTATTTCATTTTGTCCTGGACTATGGGGTTTCTAGGACATGGGACTTTCCCCACTAACACCGGGAGTCTTGGCTAAATTGAGATAACAGTCATCCTAAATCTATGTACATTACTGAAAGGCTGAAAAGATATAAATGAAATAGTATCAGTGGCTATCTGAAGGGAAAATAATTATAAGTATTGGTTTCTGTATGCTTTTCATTTTTCAGTTAAAAGTGATATAATACATCTTTATATGAACAAGCAAAGTTTACTAAGGGTCTTTTACTGAAAATCCCAAACCAGAATTATAGTTAAAACTCAAGAGAAAACATGGGGCGCCTGGGTGGCTCAGTGGGTTGAGCCTCTGCCTTCAGCTCAGGTCATGATCTCAGGGTCCTGGGATCGAGCCCCGCATCGGGCTCTCTGCTCAGCGGGGAGCCTGCTTCCCCCTCTCTCTCTGCCTGACTCTCTGCCTACTTGTGATCTCTGTCAAATAAATAAAGAAAAATCTTTAAAAAAAAAAAAAAAAAAAAAAAAAACTCAAGAGAAAACAGACTTAATTACAACAATAAAAAAGTAATGAGAGAAGAGCCAAAACTAAAACCAGGAATGAGCGGGAATAGTACAACCAATCTGCAGAAATAAAAAGAGTTATGCGTGAGAATACTATTTACAACTGTATACCAATAAATTAGATAACCTAGATGAAACAAATTCCTAGAACCCACAAATAAAGTAACTTAAGAAAATAAAAAATAGCAACAGACGTTTAACAAGTAAGCACTGAAAAAGTAATCAAAAACAAAGTCCATAACCAGATGCCTTTCCTGTGAATTCTACCAAACAGTTAAAGAATGAACACCAATTCTTCCCCAACTCTTCCAAAAAATAAAAGAGAACACTTCCTAACTCAATGAGGCCAGTATTAGCCTGACACCAATACCAGACCAAGAAAATTACAGTGTCTCTTATGAACACTGATATGAAAATCCTCAAAGTACTATCAAACCAAATCCAACAGCATATTAAATTATAAACCATGACAAAGTGGAATTTATTCCAGAAATGCACGAGCAGTTCAATGTAACAAAATCAATAATGTAATATACTACGTTAGCAGAACAAAGGAGAAAAACCATATCATCATCTTAATTGATATCAAAAAGACATATAACAGGGGCACCTGGGTGGCTTAGTGGGTTAAAGCCTCGGCCTTCGGCTCAGGTCATGATCCCAGGGTCCTGGGATCGAGCCCCACATCGGGCTCTCTGCTCAGCGGTGAGCCTGCTTCCACCTCTCTCTCTGCCTGTCTCTGCCTACTTGTGATCTTTGTCTGTCAAATAAGTAAATAAAATCTTAAAAAAAAAAACAGATATACAACAGAGTGCAACAACCTTTCATTAAAAAACAAAAACAAAAACTAGAAACAGAAGGAACTTCCTCAATATGATAAAGGGCATTTAAGAAAACCCCACAGCTAATATCATCCTCAATGACGAAAACTGAAAAAAGCTTTCTCCCTAAAATCAGGAACAAGGATGCTCACTTTCATCACCACCATCCAAGTTCTAATTAGAGCAAACAGATAAGAAAAACAAATAAAAAGCATCCAAATTGGAAAGGAAGAAGTAAAACAATTTTTACTTGTAAGTGCCATGATCTTATACAGAATTCCAAAGTATCCACATGAAAGATACTAGAGCTAGGAAAATTAGCGAAATTGTAGGACAAAAAAAAAAAACAAAACCACCAATGCACATAAATCAGCTGTTTCTATATACCAGCAATGAATAATCTAAAGAGGGAATTAAGAAAGTAATTACATTTACAGTAGCATCTAAAAGAATAACAGACTGATGACTAAATTTAAGCAATGAATTGTAACACTTATACACTGAAAACTATAAAACATTGCTGAACAGAATTAAAGAAGACCTAAATAAATGTTTAAAAGGACATCTGCATTCATAGTGAGTGCACTATGTGCACCGTCTACAGATCTAAACAATTCCTAATAAAATTCCAACAGCAGAAATGGAAAAGCCAATCCTCAAATTCATATGGAATTGCAAAGGGCCCCAAATAGCAAAAACTATCTTTAAAAAGAATAAAGTTATCCCTGATCTCAAACTTACTACAAAGCTACAGTAATCAAAACATTATGATACTAGCATAAAGATGGATATGCAGACAAGTGGAAAAGAACTGAGAGTTTTCAGAAGTAAACCTATACAATATGACCAATTGATTGCACAAATATGTCAAGACAATTCAATGGGGGAAAGAATAGTCTTTTTAATAGAGGGCACTGGAACAACTGGATTTCCACATACAAAAGAATGAAGTTGGACCTTTACCTCACAACATATACAAAAATTAACTCAAAATGAATCAAGAGCTAAGACCATAAAACTCTTAGGAGAAAACACAGGGATAAATCTTCATGACCTTGAATTTCACACTGAATTCTTAGACATGACACCAAAAGCATAAGTAACAATGACAAAAAAATAGACCAATTGGACTTAATCCAAATTTAATACTTCAGTACATCAAAGGACATTATCAAAAAAGTGAAAAGACAAACTACAGAATGAGAGAAAATATTTGCAAATTGTGCATCCGATAAGGATTTAATATTCAGGATACATAATGAACCTTTACAATTCAACATGGAGACAAACCACCCGAATTTTAAAATGGGCAAAGGATCTGAATAGGCATTTCTCCAAAGAAGATATACAAATGGCCAATAAGCACATGAAAAGCTGCTCAACATTATTAGCCAATAGGGAAATATAAATCAAAACATCAAGATACTACTTCATACCGAGTAGGATAGCTATAATCAAAATAACAAAAATAAGAGGCATTTGCAAGGACATGGAGTAGCTAGAACTCTGGTAAACTGCTAGTGGGAATGGAAACATATAATGGTGCAGTCTGGCAGTTTATCAAAAAGTTAAACATAAAATCACCGTGTGATCTTGTATTTTCACTCCTAGACATGCACCCAAATTTGAAAACAGTGACTCAAATGAGTATTTTTACACCAGTGTTCATTATAGCATTTATTCACAATAGCCAAAAGGTGGACATGATCTAGTGTCCATCAACAAATGAATGGATAAGCAAACCATAGTATATTCATAAAATGGGATATTATTCAGCTATAAAAAGGAAAAGTACTGATACATGCTACAACATGGTTGACCTGTAAAGTATTATGCTATACATCATACTAAGTGATATAAGCTATACACAAAAGTACAAATATTGTATGATTTCATTTCATTCATATGAAATCTAGAATAGCCAAATTCATAGAAAAAAGTAGATCAGAGGTTTGGTAGAGGGAGAAGGAGGAGTTGTTGCTAATAAATACAGAGCTTCTATTGGGGTGATGAAAAAGTTTTAGAAATAATGGTAATGGTTGTACAACACTGTGAGTGTAATTAACATCACAAACTGTACAGTTAAAAATGGTTAAAATGGCAAATTTGATGATTCTTTTAGCACAACACATGCATATACATACACAAGAGAAAAAGACTTTGGTACATAACCTTCTGTCAAAAGATAATTCTAGATTTCCACAAGCACTAAAACTGTGTATGAGACTTTACAGAAGTCGGTGTTCTGCAACATTTAATTCTATAGTAATGCAAGTTATTAGACACCTCAAACCACTGTGCTAAAATGCTAAACCACATGTAAGTTAAAGCAAAATAAAATTTCCCCATTTTTTTCAATAATCCAAGCAGCTCAATAAATATAACTACCTACTTTCATATTATACACATTTATCTATTCAAGTAATTATAAAATGGACTATGTTTCTTTATATTATTTTTTTTTACCCTGTTGGGACTAGATACTAAGTAAATACGGGTCACTGGTATAAACCTTTAACACTTACAAAATACACTGCTCCAAAGCTTCCATGGCCAATTTCTCTGAGATCTGTGAAGAGCTTCTCTGGATCTTCTTTGAAGAAGAGCTCTGCAATTTCAGGGTCCTTCAGGCTGCCCGCTCGGTTAGTTGATGGCATCCTGCTGGGCAATCAGTTCTCTGATTCTAATTTTATACTGCTATCCCAATCCTTGGTTCATCTGTATGAATGAAGCCACGTTGGCATGAACTATTGCAGAAAAAGAAGAAAAAAAAAGTCAGGAAAAGCAAAAGCTGCTAAGAATAATTAGTACAAGATCATTTTCTGATAGTATTATCTCAGGCATTGATTTTTCACTGAGAAGGAAATGTGGTCTACTAGTTCCTCAACCTGGTTCAGCATCACAATCACTTGTGGTACTTTAAGAAAACGCAGATTCTTAATATCCATAGTATGTAAATATATACTCTATTTATACTTTTAAAAATTAAACAAATCTTATGTCTTAGAAGCCTTTCTGTATCTGTATTTAAAGAGTTATCTAATCCAGATGCAGTGCACCCATCGGAAGAGATAACACATAAGCTATCAAAAACATGCACAACTGAAGTTGTGCCAATACTATGTCTTTAACACCAGGAAGACTCCCATCTATTAATGTTATTCAAATGTAAGAAAATACACAAAAGATTTAATTCAGTCAGTTATTTCTTTTCCTTTCAGATACCATTTGCCAGTGTTAATCAACTCTAACAGACATTCCAAAGAAAACTACAATGGGACAAAGTAATGAATTTCACACAGATAACTGTTGCCCCATAAAACTGATTCACATTAAAAAATATGGCCTTTGTCAAATCTGCATCATAAGTAGTACCACAAATAACCACTAAATTCCCTGGTGTTGTTATCAGTTCCTTTATATCTTATTACTCAATTTTAAAATTATCTGTCATAATTGACAGGCTTCATAACCTGGGTTCTGGAATGACACAGCCTGGACATGAATCCTGGCAACACTATTTACAAACTGTGAACATGGGGATCCTCATTTTCCTAATCTGTACACTGAAAATAACCTATTTCATAGAAGGGGATAGCATCATCCAGAAAAATCTGAGAAGTAAGAAATAATGAGGGAACTGAACATTAACTTTATCAAATACCAAAAAGTAACTATAGCATCATTTAGAATACTAAAAATAGGACAAGCAAATCCATAATCTAAAAGACAGTCCAGAAACAAACCCGTGTATGTCTATCTTGGAATTTAGCATACAACTAAAGGAGAAGAAATAAATGTTGAGAAAATTGATAACCCATTCAGAAAAAATATATAAAAAATTATAATCCATGCTAAGTGGCTTAAGAAACATCCCAAATAAATGAGGAAAAAATGAATTTGAGACCTGTTCCTTAAACTGAACACCTGAATTACATATGGGTCAGAAATACAAACATAAAGAATGAAACTGGGGCATCTGGTTGGCTCAGTAAGAAGAACATGACTCGATCTTGGGGTCATAAGCTTGAGCCCCACACTAGGTGCAGAAATTACTTGAATAAAACTATAAAAAATGAAACTGTACGTAAGTACTAGAAATAAGTAAGTTCCTCCATAATCAAGGATTGAGGAAACTTCCTATGATCCAAATCCAAAACAACAACAAAGACTGATATATATTTAACAATACAAAAAAGAAAACTTGGAATGAGGGGCCATGGAAAAGGATACTCCAAACAAAAAGAAGATAAACTTGGGGGGAAAGTTCAAAACTTATGTTTACAAAGGGTTAATATCCCTAATATGTAAAAAGTTAAAAAAAAAAAAAAAAGAAGACAATCAGATACCCTTAATATCTGAAAAGTTCCTGAAAATAGCAAAGAATAAATACAGGAGATATGCATAGTTCACAGAAAAAAAAATTGCACTTCAGTTAATGACTTCAAAAGATTAAATTGCTTAGGGGTGCCTGAATGGCTTAGTTGGTTAGGCATCTGCCTTCAGCTGGGGTCATGATCTCAGGTTCCTGGGATCTAACCCCATGTCAGGCTCCCTGCTCAATGAGGAGTCTGCTTCTCCCTCTGCCTCCCCACTCCCCCCACCCCCGCTTGTGCTCTCTTTCTCTCACTCACTCTCTCTCTCTCTCTCTCTTGCTCTCTCTCAAATAAATGAATAAAAGCTTTAAAAAAAATGAAATTGCTTAAATCTAACCACGCCAAGTAAGAGAAATACAAATTAAAACTATACTAAGATTTCATTTTATACCTATCAGAAAGGCAAAAATTCACCACATGCTGATGGTGGAGTGAAGGGAAATATACATACACTCATCCATTAATAGCAGTAATGAAAAAACAGTGTAAGCCCTATGGAGAAAAGTCTAGCAAATACATATATGCACTTACCATTTCCCATAATAATACCACTTTAAGGAATGAGTACCAAAGATAAAGAAAACATAAGAAATGATAAATGCATAAGGTCAGGAATTAGAAATCATTACGTGGGACTGTAAAATGGTACAACCATTTTGGAGAACTGTTTAGCAGATGCTTATCAAGAAAAATAAACATTTACTATTTGAAGGAGCAATTCCTAAACTAGTTGTCTCATTTATTCGAAGAAAAGAAAATACAGGCACATAAAAACTCGCACATAGTAGCTTTATTCATAGTAGTCCAAAACTACAAATAATACAAATGTCTATCAACAAATAAATGTGTAACAGAATTGTGTTATACTCACACAATGAAATACTATTCACTTCAATAAAAACGAATAAACTACTGATACACATAGGAACACAAATGAGTAATGAGTATCAAAAGCATTATGCTGACTCAGTAAAAGAAGCCACAAACAAGAATACACACTTTATGATTCACCTGATAAATTCTCAAACAGGCAAAACTAGTCTAAAGTAATAGATCCATGGATACTTGGTGCAGGTATGGGAGACAAAGGGGCCCAAACGAGCTTCTAGAAATAATAGAAAGTTCTATATCTTGAGGTAGTGAATTATGTAAGTATATACACTTGTATCAAGTACTATATTATGTAACTGGGTCATAAAACTCCAACTGAACACATAAAATGGATACATTTCACTATACAGAAAGTATACTTCAATGAAATTAACTTTAAAAAATTAAATGGCTTAGGGGCGCCTGGGTGGCTCAGTGGATTAAAGCCTCTGCCTTTGGCTCGGGTCATGATCCCAGGGTCCTGGGATGGAGCCCCATATCGGGCTCTCTGCTCAGCAGGGAGCCTGCTTCCTCCCCTCTCTCTTTCTGCCTGCCTCTCTGCCTACTTGTGATCTCTGTCAAATAAATAAATAAAAATCTTTAAAAAAAATTAAATGGCTTAAATCTAAGTACCATATACACATATATAAAATCTAAGTACCAATGGTGCCTGGGTGGCTTAGGTTAAGTGTCTGCCTTCGGCTGAGGTCATGATCCCAGGTTCCTGGAATAGACCCCATGTCTGGCTCCTTGCTCAGGGAGGAGCCTGCTTCTCCCTCTCCTCCCCCTGCCTCTGCTTGGGGCTCTCCCTGCTTGTTCCCGCTCTCTCTGTGCCAAATAAGTAAAGTTCTTTTTTTAAAAATCTAAGTACCATATATACGCTCTCTTGTATGTGCACTCTCTCTATATAGTGCAAATTTATGAACAAGGTATAGAAGGATATGTACTAAATAGTTAATATTCTCTGTGATAAAGTATAGCCATGAAAAGCATTACTTGTTAGTCTACACATTTGTATTCTCTGAATTTTTATAGCTACTGTTTTTGTAATTTTAAGAAATTTACTTACATTGTACTTTAAATTTGAGAAAAATTAAGAAAGAACATTTTTAGAACTAGAATATTTATTCTGACTAGGGAGAACAACCAAAAGGCTATCTGCACTTTTTTTAATTCACAAAAGATTTATGCATTTTACAATTTTGTATGTCAAAAAAAGTTGAGTCACACAAAAACTGAAACTTACAGAGCAAACACAATTAAGGATTAACATTTCTTAAATATATAGTTATCATTCAAATCACTCAGGAAGTAGCTAATTCACCAACATATAAATACATGGCCAAAGGATATATGTCAGCACTCCATAAACAGGTAATATGAATTAATGGGGAGGGGAGCCTGGGTGGCTTAGGGGGTTAAAGCATCTGCCTTCAGCTCAGGTCATGATCCCAGAGTCCTGGGATAGAGCCCCACATCGGGCTCTCTGCTCAGCATGGAGCCTGCTTCCTCCTCTCTCTCTGCCTGCCTCTCTGCCTACTTGTGATCTCTGTCTGTCAAATAAATAAATAAATAAATATTTTTAAAAATAAATAAATAAATTACTGGAGAGAAGAGTTAAAGCTTGATAGGCACGGCCATGAGTTTTGGATTCTATTTTCCTCCTTTAACTCCTGGCAGCTTTGACCTAAGAGTGGCCTGAATTACAGCAAGGAAACCCATGGAGAAATTCCCTTTATTATTATTATTTTTAATGTAGTACTATGCACACTTTTTTTTAAATTTTTTTTTTTTGTTATTTATTTGACACAGAGAGAGAGGGAGAGAGATCACAAGTAGGCAGAGCATCAGGCAGAGAAGGGGTGGGGGAAGCAGGCTCCCAGCTGAACAGAGAGCCCAATGCAGGGCTTGATCTCAGGACCCTGAGATCATGACCTGAGCTGAAAGCAGAGGTTTAACCCACTGAGCCACCTAGCCGCCCCCAAATTCCCTCCTTCTATCCAAAAGACCAGGAAGAGGAGATCCTGTGATCTAGAGATTGCAGGGGGAAAGGCAATTATTTTCTCTTTTCTCTCCTCAGCTACAGAACAGCACTGTGCAGCAACAGAAAAAAAAAAAAACTGTGAGAAAACCTCTCTTTGGCGAGAAAATCAGAAAACAGTGCCCTGTTGGTCCAAAAATTATCAGGGGAATTCCCATTATTATTTTTTTAAGCTCCTCTCTTCTTTCCCCATTTCACTTAAGGCGATGCCCCGGTGGTGGGGAACTATATAATGCACAGGTCTAAATGCTTAGAGAAAAATCTATCTTTCTGATTCGAAGAACCAGGGAAAAGTCCATTGGGAATTGAAGAGTAAATGGAGGAAAATCATGGAGAAGAGCGAGCTAGAAAAGAGATGCCTAATTCTTTTACTTTGGTATAAACCAAAACAAATACTGATTTGCACTTGTGTAAAGTAGACTAAAAGAAGTGTAGCAAAGGCTAAACTAAAGACAACTAAACTATAGTATAAACCACTGCCAAGTCTCATCCTTTCACTGAGAGGTACAGCACAGGACAAATCCAAAGAGCGCAGCAAAAGTTCTGGAAATAGAACTTGATACTGGAACCACCACTCACAGAAAGTGAGATGGAACTTCCCATTTAAACCAGGTGGTGTCTACTAAAACAAAGAAATCAACAAATCAACGTTCTCTACAATATATTAATAAGACTCAAAAATGACAACGTAATATTCACAATGTCCAAGATAAAATCCAAAAATTACATGCAAAAACAAAACACGCATGCACACGCGCAGATGCATGCACACACACACAAAACTGGTTAATGTGACAAATTATCAAGGGAAGAGAGGACCCACAGATGCCTATGAGATGACTCATGTTGGAATTCTCACACAAAGACTTTTTTTTTAAGATTTTTTTTTTTTTTAATTTGACACAGAGAGAGAGAAATCACAGGAAGCAGGCTCCCTGCTAAGCAGAGAGCCTGATGTGGAGCTCGATCCCAGGACCCTGAGATCATGACCTGAGCCAAAAGCAGAGGCTTAACCCAATGAGCCACCCAGGTGCCCCTTTTTTTTTTTAAAGATTTTATTTATTTGACACAGAGAGACACAGCAAGAGAGGGAACAAAAGCAGAGGGTGTGGGAGAGGGAGAAGCAGGCTTCCTACTGAGCAGGGAGCCCCATGAGGGGCTTGATCTAGGATTATGACCTGAGCTGAAGGCAGGTGCTTAACGACTGAGCCACCCAGGCATTCCTACACAAAGACTTTAAAGCAGTTATTATAACCATAACAAATGAGGTAATGGTTAACACTCTGGAAACAACTGAAAAGACGTAAGTTCTTAGAGAAATAAAAAAAAAAAATTAAATCATATGAATAATTTAGAAATGAAAAATACAGTATCATAAATGAGGGGCACCTGGCTGGCACAGTCTGTACAGCATGTAACTCCTGATCTTGGGGTAGTGAGTTCAAACCGCACGATGGGCATATTACTTACTTAAAAAAAAAAAAAAGAAACAAAACAAAACAAAACAAAAAAACCTCATTACATGGGCTCAACTGCTCAACAGAGATGACAGAAAAAAGAGTCAGAAAACATTAAGACAGAAATTAATGAAACTAAAAAACAGAGAGAAAAAAGACTGAAAGAACTCACTAGAGCCATAGTGACTTGTTGGACAGCATCAAATTGTCTACGTTTCAAACCACTAGTATTACTGAGGAGAGGAAAAATAAATTGGTAAGGAAAAAAAATTTTTTTGTAATGTCTGAAAACTTCACAGATTCAACAAAAGACATAAATTTAGAGATTTGAGAAGCTCAACAAACCCCAAACAGGACAAATTCAAAAGAATATCAGGTTAGACACACCTGCTCACAATGTTAGAAAAAGATAAACTAAATTTGAATGACAAGAGATTTTGTGTAAAAAAAAAAAAAAGTCCACAGAAAGTGGAATAATATCTTTAAGATTATAAAAGGAAAGAACTACCAATGCAGAACATAACTCTTTATCTAGCAGAAGTCTTCTACAGGAATGAGGGGGGTGGATTCTTACATGATACAAAACTAAGAGAATCTGTTACCAGCAGACCTACCTTAAAATAAATGCATAATGTTAAACAAAAGAGAGCTAGGGTAGCTACATTAGTATCAGACAAAATAGACCTCAGAACTAAGAAAGTCACAAGGGATAAAGAGAAACATTAAATGATGTTATTCCATTCATCAAATCCCAAATCTATCTTCACCTGACAAAAGAGCGTCAAAGTCATGAAGCAAAATTGGTACAACAGAAAAGAGAAATAAAACAAGTTTATAATAATACTAGGAAACTCCACAATCCTCTCGCAGAAATTTAAAGAAATAGTAGTCTGAAAATAAACAGAACAACATTATCAACCAAGTTCACCTCATGACATTTCTAGAATACTCTACCTGATTCTACATTCTTCTCAAGAGCACCCATCAATTCAAGAATTGATATTCACACCAAGACAGATTACATTCTGGGCCATTAAACAAATCTTAACAAGCATAAAAAATTTTTATTCATACAAAATACATTATCTGACCATAGTGCAATTACATTTAAGATTAGCAACAAAGATATGACTTCTTTTTTTTAAAGATATTATTTATTTATTTGTCAGAGAGAGAGAGAGCTCTAACAAGCAGGGGGAGCTTCAGGCAGAGGGAGAAGCAGGCTCCCTGCTAAGCAAGGAGCCCAACACAAAGAGCTCTTGGGATCATGACCTGAGTTGAAGGTAGACGGTTAATCCACTGAACCAACCAGGTATCCCCCAAAATATAACTTTTTTTAAAACCCACAAAATTTGGAACTTAAATACATACTTCTACATAATCCATGAGTCAATAAAAAAAGTTTAAAGGGAAATTAGGAAAGAATACAAATTGGGGAACCTGGCTGGCTCAGTCTAAAGAGCATACAACTCTTGGTTTTAGGATTATGAGTTCAGGCCCCACATTCATTGTAGAGATTACTTAAAAATAGAATTAAAAAAAGAATATAGGGGCACCTGAGTGGCTCAGTGGGTTAAAGCCTCTGCCTTCAGCTCAGGTCATGATCCCAGGGTCCTGGGATCAAGCCCCACATCACACTCTCTGCTCGGCAGGGAACCTGCTTACTCCTCTCTCTCTCTCTCTGCCTGCCTCTCTGCCTACTTGTGATCTCTGTCAAATAAATAAATAAAATCTTTAAAAAAATACAAATTGAATCAAAGTAAAAATACAACATTAAATTTGCAGGATACAACTAATACAGTGCATACATAGAAATTTAAGGCACTAAATCTATATTGCGGGGAAAAAGATTTCAAATAATCTATGCCTCTATCTTAAGAATCTAGAGAGGGGCACCTGGATGGCTCAGTCAGTTAAGCGTCCAATTCTCTTGATCTCAGTTCAGACCTTGATCTCAGGGTTGTGAGTTCAAGCCCTATACTGGGCTCCACACTGGGCATGTAGCTTACATTAAAACAAACAAACAAACAAAAAAAAAACCTAGTAAGAGAAAAGCAAATAAAACCAAACAAAGGGGCACCTGAGTGGCGCAATTGGTTAAGCAACAGGCTCTTGGTTTCGGCTCAGGTAGTGATCTCAGGGTGGTAAGAGCAAGCCCCATGTAGGGCTCCATGCTTAGTTCAGAGTCTGCTTGAGATTCTCTCGCCCTCTGCCTCTCCCCACCTCTCTAAAATAAATAAATGAATAAATCTTTTTTAAAAAACCCAAAAAATAAATATAAAAAAGGAAATATTAAAGAAACAGACTAGAAATCAATGAAATTAGAAAACAAAAAGCCAATATAGAAAATCAGTAAAACCAAGAGATGGTTCCTTTGGGTAATTAAAATAACTCAACAAAACTGAAAGATCTCTGCCAAACTAACCAAGGAAAACAAGAATAGACACAAATGAGCAAAAACAGAATTCAAAGGGGAAATATTACTACATACTCTGAGAACACTGAAAGAATAGCTCTGAGTTCCTGAATTTAATTCACCATTCTAAACAAACTGAAGAAAAAAGAAACACATGATCATATCAACAGAAGCAGAAAAGGACTTTGACAAATCCAACATCCATTTATAATAAAAATGTTAAAAAAAAACAAAACTAGTATTAGAAGGGAACATCACTGGGATGCCTTGGTGGCTCCGTTGGTTAAGCGTCTACCTTCAGCTCAAGTCATGATCCTGGGATCAAGTCTCTGATTGGGCTCCTTGGTTAGCAGGGAGCCTTCTTCTCTCTGCCTGCTGCTCCCCCTGCTGTGTGTGCTCTCCCTCCTTCTCTCTCTCTCACACAAATAAATAAATAAATAAGTAAAATCTTTAAAAAAATAAAAAGGGGGGGGAACATCATTAATCTCACTAAGGGTATCTACAAAAAACCTACAGCTAACATCATAACGATTAAAGGCTAAAAGATTTTCCCTAATGATGAGAAACTAAGTAAGGATGTTTATTCTAATCATTCCTCTTCAACATCACACTAGAAGTTCAGTCCATGCCATAAAGAAAAGAAAAAGAAAAGATACGTAATAGAAAGAAAAAAAACTCTCTAGTTGTTGACATGACTGTCTGCATGAAAAAATCCCAAGGAATATAAAAACAGTAAAAGAAGGGGCGCCTGGGTGGCTCAGTGGGTTAAAGCCTCTGTCTTTAGCTCAGGTCATGATCCCTGGATCCTGGGATCGAGCCCCACATAGCACTCTCTGCTCAGCAGGGAACCTGCTTCCCTCTCTCTCTCTCTCTGCCTGCCTCTCTCCTACGTGTGATCTCTGTCAAATAAATAAATAAAATCTTAAAAAAAATGAACAGTGAAAGAAGAAAAATATTTAGATATGTCTAAAAATATTTGGATAGAATTTATATAGTAAGAACAATAAATGCGGTGCCTAGCTGGCTCAGAGCGTGGAACTCTTCAGGGTCATGAGTCAAAGCCCCATACCGGGTGTAGACCTTACTTAAAAAAAGAAAAAAGAGAAAGGGAAAAAAATTAAATGGAGAGATATACTATGTTAATGGACTATATGATTCAATACTGTTATAAGGTCATCTACCCAAATTGGTCCAAAAATTCGTTGATTCATAGATTCAATACGTCAGGCAAAATTCAACAGAACATTTTTTCCTGTAGATATCAACAAGGGAATTCTAAAATGTACATGAAAAGGCAAAGAACCAAATTAGTCAAAACAATTTTTAAAAAGCAGTATAGAGTTGAGGGACTCACACTAACAGATTTCAAAACCTAACACAAAGCTACAATAATCAAGATGGTGTAGTAATGATGAAAGGATAGACACACAGTCCAATGAAACAAAGGAGAAGTTCAGAAACAGACCCTCACGAATATGGTCAACTGATTTTTGACAAAGGTATAATAGAGAAAAGATCTCTTTTGAAAATGGCACCACAGTAATTAGACATCCATATGCATAAAAATGAACTTTGCCTCATACCTTAAAGAAAAATTAACTCAAAACGGTCCATTTATCTCGATGCAAAAAATTAACACGTAACACACAACATTTAGAAAACAACACAGGAGAAAAATCATTGCAACCTTAGTCAAGGAGTTCCTAGATACAACACCAAAAGTGTAATCCATAAAAAGGGCAAAATTGATATGGACTTCACCAAAATTAAAAACCTTTACTCTTGCAAATGACACTTTTAAAAGAATGAAAGTCAAGCCAAAGGCTGCTAAAAATTTTTCAAATCCTGTATCTGAAAAAGCATTTGTATCTGAAATCCATAAAGAACTCTCGAAACTCAATAATGGGTACAGAAATGCACACTTAGATGATGAAACTATAAAGAAACTCCCAGAAGTTTTTACTATAAAAATGTCAGGATAGTAGTTACTTTAGGAAAAAGAAGGGGCTGTGATTAGGCTGAGACATAAGAAAGAACATCTAGAATGGCTAGCAAAGTTCCATTTCTTGCCTTAGATAGTGATTACAATGTAATTCTATTTATAATTAATTAAGCTATATGTTTGCCAAATTTCTGGATCTGTCTGATCTTATAATAAAAAGAATGAAAACAAAAATTATACATACTGTAGTTTTCACAAAGAAGGCAATACAACAAAGTGGTATAGATTATATTTGGGTAGTTACAGCCTGTATTATGGACAACATTCAAAGTCTATACTCTCCTTATGTTCCAAAATTCCAAAGATAATCACATGTTCAACTTCCACAACCAGAAAAAAAGATAAAGAAAAAATATCCACCATTTGCGTATTCTTTAGGCTGTGAGAAGACAGAAAAAAATGAAAAATCAGATGAATGCAAGTAAGAGAACTCCAGCAATGTTAGAAACTCCTGAAACATTCCACTACACTGTTAGGCTAGAGTTTATAGTAGCCATTGCATAACTGCTTTTCTATACGTCTTCAAATTCCCAAAAGTAAAGTACTTTATTTTTTTAAATTTTATTTATTTATTCGACAGACAGAGATCAAAGGTAGACAGAGAGGCTGACAGAGAGAGAGGGGGAAGCAGGCTCCCTGCCAAGCAGAAAGCCCGATCGATGCAGGGCTTGATCCCAGGACCCTGAGATCACAACTGGAGCCGAAGGCAGAAGCTTAACCCACTGAGCCGCCCAGGTGCCCCTAAAGTACTCTATTTTAAAACTTAGCACCATCTTGGCTGCCCTGCCCCCATTCAGAATACTGCTACAACAGAG